GACCGAACCGAGTGCTTTCACAGTCTCCTTGTGCTCCCGAGGATACAGAACAGCCAGTTTACCGATTGCGCAATGAGCGGCGGACTGGTCTGAGATGGACACATCGATTTGGTCCGCCCTGGCCGTGCTAAATGTCAATCCGAGCGTGTTCTGTGTGTGCCTGTTCCAACTGAATATGTTCACATACCTTCGAAATCTCGGTTCGGTGAATGGAACATCAACTTTGATTTGCAAGGGAGCGTAACTATGTAATTTACCATGACGTCGAGTCGGATTTCTGTCTGCTATACAGTTTGAGTAATCGAGCAAAACTATGCCAGCATTGTACAAATCACGTGATGTAAGGAATCCACCGTTCGGTAGTTGTTTTTGCACGATCAACCAACGTATGATGGGTAGAAATTTGTACAGGGGCCAGCCAAGCTGATGAAGTGCAAAATACACGTGAGTTGTGGTCTCCACATCGGAACCAGGGTCGTGTTCCTCTCCGGCCCAGTGAATCATGAACAGATTCGAGCCCTCGTCACCTTCTCTGATCTCACGTTGCTCAATCAGATTGAGAATACGACTCAAACGCGTCCTGTCCGAATCGATCCAGGACAGACCGATTGCAATTTGTGCCAGTGATGCAGTGGAGTACCATTTCATTCTCCCCGCATCCAGCTGATTGAGCTGCGCAATCGACAAACGATGCAAACAGCGAATCGGATTTTCCAATCGCGAATCATCCGGATTGGATAGAATCGAGGCGGTCAGGACACGCGCTGTGAATGCCGTGTACGATTCTTCCTCATCCGAGTTTGGGTGAAAACAACCGGTTTCTGCTTTTAGCCGCTTGGCAAACAGATTGTACAGACCAGTGATCATGTTCTCGCTTTCCTTACCGATCTGATTCCGTATCCATGGGTGTGGACTTCTCACGAGAGCGATCAAAGTCTGGTAGACCAACACATTGAACGAGTAATCGATTGAATCGCATTGATCGTGCAATACGCTAAAATGACCGGATGGGTGGCAACGATAGTGAAGTAACGATTGAAAGTTTCGCAGTATGATACGAAACGTGCGCGTCTTCATTTGCTCCAGCTGTTCATTTGAGACAAACGAATTGACGTGCAGTTGATTCAACACACCGGTTCTTATGGTCACAATAGCCAAATGATCGTAGGCGTGAATTGTCTGAAATGTTTTCGCAGCTTCGAAATAGCTCCACAACAGACCAGTCACATCACCACTCAGTCTCAAATATTTGTACATCGGGTGCTGACTGTCGGAAATATCGTTCAGTAGATCAGATATCCTGGGTGAAATTGTTTCAGTTGGATTGCTCCCGAATTCTTCTTGCATGCAAACAACAAAACCCGTATGTCTCATCTCGGTCTGACTTGCGCTCACATGGACGGTTCGAGATACGGTTCGTTTCACCATGGGAATCTTTTTGGAGAGCATGTTGGGCGCTACGCTGACGAGAAATGTTGTCCACGGATCATCCGAACACCGGAGTGGATTTTTACGGACTTGTACAACGACCAAAATATTTGTAAATCGTGTATGGAGGAGTATAGGTTGCAGAACGGTTCGGAAATGAAGCGTAACCGGTTCGGTAATACACACGCAGCGAGAGAAGTGCATCACATCAAACCATAACCAGACATCTTTGTGGTCCAGATGGAATCGGACGAGCAATTCCAAACAAGACAATCTCGTTATTTCCGAATGCAAGGTCACGTCCGCTTCAACATTCACAAGCTCGAATAAGTTCACCTTAGTTGGTATGGTCAATTTCAGGGTCATCGTCGGCAAATTGTGGTAGACTTGAGAGACCGCAGACCAAAATCCGATATCCGGACCATAGCAGTAGGCAGTCGCACGCCAGTTGGTGACTTCTGGGGCTAAATTCAGTTTGTATTGCACCCCTTGTCGCGTCCCTACAGTTCCGATTTGACGCTGCCCCAATAAAATGGATTTGACCATCCAGTTGTCCGTGTCCAGTGAAAAACTGTTTTGTGTTTCGTCACGAGTGTGGTATGAACAAGCAAAGTTGTCTAACAAGCACACCTCTTTTGACGCATCAAGACGTGTGCCCTTTCCGAGACCGACTACATTCATATCACACGCGGTTGCGTGATGAGTAGAAACCTCACTGCCTGATTCGATCAGATGCGGCTTCGGATAGATCAGATCATTCAAACGTTTCACGATTGCGTTTTGCTGACCGAGGTGTGTCTGTAACAGCATGCGTTCATCCCAGATACGTGCGTAACATTTTGTGCTCGTCCCTGGTACGCGCACGAGTGGTGGGAACACATTCAACTGGACATCGGACTCACTTGTGGACGCGTCAAAGAACACTGCATCCTGTTTCAAATCGATGTCTTCACAGGTTTGCGTATGTTTAAGAATGCCTGAAGCACTGATCGCTTCCAACGCATCGCTTAATGTTCGTGTCAAATAGAATAGGATGACCGGGATATCACGGCGTACGGGTGTTGGGAAATGCATCCGAACTGTTCGATAATATATCAAGCGAGTACTGTTGCGAGCCGCTTCTGTTTGAGCGGTATTCGGTCCTTTCTTATACCACGGACAGTCACATTCGTCTCCGCTGTAGCAACCGCGGTTGAAACTGAATGCTCTACAACGAGAACAGCCCTTTCCATGCCAGTACAGCTTGCATTTGCAAGTACCAGGGACCGAACAGAAACCTCCATATTGATCACAATCAGTACTACAAATTGGTTCGACACAACCAGGACCTCGCCAGCCGGAGCGGCACTGTATCCGAGTCTGGTTATTTTGGTCACATTGATAATTACCAGTCAGTCCAAAACTATCTTTACACAACTCATCTCTTGCCTTTTCGTCCAATGTGTAATCAGGTAACGTCACTGGAACCCAGCTTCGTCCATCGTGTGCGATCGCGTACAGGGTGATCTCACTCAACGGTACATTTCCCACCAGCCGGAAACTTACATCACCGGCACAATCCACGTGTGGCATTTCATCACCATTTTCCGACCAAAATTCCATATTTTCACCACTCTCTGTGGTTATTGCACGCAAGTGAACACAACCTCCGTGATTCTCGGCGGTTGTTTCTTTTGAATTTACCGATGCAAACTCCAGTCGCATATCCGCGTGTCTTAATATGGGCGAAAATTGCAGTGCCATCTGTCCCACATTGTCCATGCTCCCGAACGACACTTTTTGGAGTCGTGGTAAATGTGGCCGTTTGTTTCGCTCCTGCTTTGCCAAGCATGAGGTGGGCAGTTGCTCTATCAGTCTACCAAGGATGAACTGTGTACGCCAATACCATGGGTCAAGTTTTACCGGGACATTGATTGGTAACCCGTATTTGTACACCACGGTTGCTTGTTGTTTACCTGATGATGGGTATCGGAAACACTGAGCATAATCATTGGCACGGATAGAGTCGAATAGTTGTACACAAAGCAGTACCATATCTTGTACATGATCGTCTGATTCATGAGACACTTGCAAATGTTCCGTGTTGAAATCGAACCAACCGCATCCGTGTGAATCGAGAGTTGTATGTGCAACTGAACAGGGATGGGCCACATCTCCTTGATTTCGTCGCAAGCACGCTTCTCTGTCGACAATGGACTGACTGTCTACTTGATTGAGCANNACAATAGAACTTTCATCTCTCCGTACGCCGCGCTTCCATCCGATTCGTTCGCGCATAACTGTAATCGAAGATGTCCTACGTCACGTGTTTCACTAGACCAATCAGAGTGAGTAACCTGAACTGTTGGAGCTGGATATGTTTGTTCGCGGACGACAAATGACTGGGTAGCCTGTGGATCCTGGTCGCTGGATGTGTACAGTTCAATGGTCCATTTACCCGGATTCGCATAGGCTGGGATGGGACAGCTCAATTTTACAGTATCATTTACCAGTAGTTGAGACCACGAACAGATCGATGCTGTATCCGGTTGATTCACACATACACTGTGAACGGGTCGCTCTATTCCATGATCCCGTGAATGTCGCTCACTTTCTCCGGTCATTTGGTGCCAATACTGCGACGAGATGCATACGATCATAAAGCGGACAGTTTCACCAACGGCATAGATATTCTTTTCCATCTCAATGAAATAAATTTGTTCGAGGTTCTTCACTTGGACCTCATGATGTAGCTGGGTGACACCAGTTGGGACACAGTGATAGCTGTTCTTTTTGCAAGTACGGATTTGAAAGGTCACTCGAATTGTGGATTCCCGATCAGCTTTTTCTGCTTCGTATGGATAATTGTATGAAAGATTCAAATAATGCACCTGATAGCCTCGGGAATTTTCAATCTGCCTCGACTCAAGGGGGATCCCGTGCATCACACTACTGTCCGAGTTGTTCGCATTCGTGATCATCGTGACTGCGATTCGGTCCAGGCTGTACAGGAAGAACTGAACGGTCTGAGAGACGTCCATCTGTTTCGGTCCGATCGAGATCACTCGAGTGACGGAGGGGCCAGGACTGTGGGCGCTTGGAGTCTGTGATTGAACAGGTAATAACAGTTCGATCACGGCTAAAATACAACAGACCAATCTTGCGATGTGCATTCCGATGTTCTTGCTAAACCAGCTGCTCATCAGTTCACAATGTGTTTCTTCATGAGCAGTCCCATGTGACATCATCCATGATCCATGTGTGTATATATAACGATGTGACTTCGTGGGTGACAGATCGCGACGAATGGGGACGCGGATGGGCGGAGAAAGTGGGAGCACTAAAGTCTCTTATACACGAATATGCGATTTCATCGAACAAATTTGTGCGGCCTTCTCCATTCATTTAAGTCGAGTCAGAAAACTTCTTTCGAAATTGAGTAATCCGATCCGGTTGAGAAATTAGGTTTTTCGCTCATCAGTTAGCTGGGAATAGATGACGATGTGCCGTCACCATCGGAAGTGTTACGTATTGGATCAAACCAGGTAAGTTGATCTCCGATTTCACTTAATCACGTTTCATTCAAGTCCTAAAAAAACTGTCGCTCCTGTGTGTCAACTGGCGATTATGTGATTCTATGTATCAACTGGATCTGCCGTTGGATGTTTCTTGGTCGACTGCGTTCTTTCTTATAATTTTGTCATGTCGCACGTTCTCATTTAGTTTCGCTACTATTCGTTTGGCTTTTTATCTAAGTCAATCAGTATGAATTTGGGTTCTCGTTGTCTGACGCTTACCAGGTTCTCACACTGAATGAGAACTTGAAATTGGCTCTCAACTACACGACAATCCGCGAATCGGGTTCCAAAACCTCTGCTGTTGTCACTTCGTCTCGCCGAACTCGTCCGGCAGGCGAGGACGTATTCAATCCACCGGACCTAGTGGAGTCGATTTTCAGTAACTTGTTAACCGGGGTTCCAATTCCCAGTCAGTATTACTGCGTTGCATGTGTCGAGACGATTTGATCTGTTTGCGTGACCTCAAGTCTGAAGCTGCCGAACTTCATGTCAATATTGCCTATCCTCAATTGAGAAAGGAAATCCCTTCAAAATCGTGATAGCTTTGATTTCAGTTCTTTTCGTGAAAATGTTGATCGTTCCATTTTGTTATCCTTCCATAGGTCATTTCCAAGCACTTTAAATCTGCCTCGTCGATACAATTTATTTATGCAATATAGTCAAGTTGGACTCACAGCATGTATGATTTGGATTCTGTCGTCCCTGAACTGCTTCATTCATCCACTACAGTTACAAAGGGCTGTGCCCATGCCAAGCTCTTATTCGTGAAGTCACAGCTTCTGTTCACCCCGCTCAACTTCCGATGGCTTGGGTCTCTTGGTCTGGGGTTTGTTGTCCACCTACCGCGTTTGGCGTCATCTCAGAGGTGGCTAGGATTACCACTGTTTCTCACGGTTCCTTAACCTTCACTTATGGCTCGTCACATTTAACTTAGTTTTTGAGCCCGTGTGCATAATTGTCCTTGCAGGGTCACAAATAGCCATCCCACATATCAGACTCTACCTCCAACAGTGTATTTTCATTCAGAGGGAAAAATACACTTCGCTCCAGGCGACCACGATCCAGTCAATACCAAAACAAGAACAACAATGGCAACTGAAAATGCCTTTTGGACGTGACTGCCTCACCAACCATGGAAACCACATTTTTCAATGTCTAACAGGTCTGTCTAAAATGAATGCTCTCAGTTAAACGGAGAGGGGATCAAAGTGTTGAGCATTTAGTGTCTCACTGCAAATGGTAACTAAAGTCCAATCGGGATCCCGATATTATTAGGTAATTTATATTCCCACACGAGTCCGAGTGTATCAATCAGCGTAACTCTTGTAAAAAGTGTGGATTCAACGACACCACAGTTTGTTTTACCGTTATGCATTTAAATGTTCCCTTGAAGTCGAATCGCATTGTTCCGACTGCGTTTGTTGTCTTTTGACACAGTGATTTGAAGCGTTCCACAATCCATGGGGTGATACCGGGATCATAATAATTTTTCGTGATCAAAATAATAGGTTTTAGCTAGACGTGTGGCTTACGCATCTCGGACAACGCTTAGAATCTGAGCTGCAAGATTCCCGTCGGGATGAATTTCTTGGGGACAGCTCGTGAGACGTGGCTTTCTAACTTTATGTGCTTCACAATGACTGTAAGTTGGTCCTTGATTGTTCTCTTATGTCCATCTAATGAAGTTGACCAGGACATTCAGCGGTTCCTCGGACGGTAATGGTAAGTTTAGAGTCGAAATCAATAATATTGGGCAATACCCCATCAACTCTTGATTAGACAAAAATCTGTTGTATCTGTTGTATCCAAGCAACAGTGTTTGGATGAGTGTACGGAGGGTTGCGAATGAATATCAGGCACTACATGGTCGGTAGTTGCATCAGTGCTTAACAAATTCATTTTGCAAATGCACATTTCCGCTTATTGATCCTGAATTTGAAAGGTAATATATCCTTATACTTGTTTCCCTCCCATGATACTGCCTGTGGACCGCATGTTCTGAGAACCTCAGCCTATTGATTCGTCCCCACGTATAACGGTCAATGCGGAGTACTATTAGAGACCAACTTGCGCTACGCTCACTCGGGTATTTCACACAACCTATCGACTACTCCGCTTCCCCAATGTCGTCAAATTGATGAACGGTTTTCCTCGAAGGATGCACATTCAATTATACCCCAATATTGCATGTCGATAGGTGAACGAGAGTGCCTGTTTGGCAAGTCCCAAGGGCAACTTCCGGCTTTTAGAAAAGCCCGAAGAATACATTCATATGTATTTTTCACGGAGGTCCGTTCGATAAGTAAACCCTGCTGAGAGACAGAGCTAACACCTGTAGGTGCACTCCACAAAATGTGTGTGTGCAATGTCTCACCGGCATTCAACGGACCGTGAAAAACTGTGACCTTGGTAGAGTTGTCTTGAACGGTTCGGTCAGTCCACGGATTGTAGAGTAATAGTTGAAATTTCTTGAGGATTCTGACAATCTCTTCACATGATTCTTCGCAGCTCATATGAACTGTGGCATACACCAAACAGAGAGAAGACTCGAAGAGCTTGAACGAAGTTATATTGATACCAACGTAGCAACAGT